ACAGTAATGTCTATTTTAGATCAAGCCTAAATTATCAAGATAGTCTTTGTTTATAATACAGTTTTTCACACTTCAGTGAGTCGCTAATTTGAGGGGTTTATTAGGTTTAATATGTGTGTGTGTGTGTGTATGTGTATGTGTGTGTGTGTGTGTGTATGTATGTGTTTGTGTGTGTGCATGTATACACGCTCGAAAGTGCATACACCACAGTGTATTACAGAGGTCAAAGGACAACTTTGATCCTTGCTATCCACCCTGTCTCTTGTTCACTCTCACTGCACACAGCAGAATAGCTGATTCATGAGCTTCCAGGAATTCTCCTGCGTCTGCCTCCCACCTTGCCATAGAGTGATTACAGGCATGTGTTACCAAGCCTGGCTTTTATGTGGGTTCCAAGAATTCAAACAATTTTGGGCTGCAAGGTCTTTACCCAATGGCGCTATCTTCCCAGCCCAAATTACTAGTTGTGAAAGGACTACATGTACGGATAACCATTCAAGTCCCTCTGAGCTTGCCTCTTGAATTATGAAGAACTCAAGAGCAACCCTTTTGGAGGGACTGGCTTTTCTTCTCCCTATATTGTCAGGGAGGGAGGTGAAACAATGCAGTTACTCAATGATTTTTTAGTGTTGTTCCAGAACCTCCCTCAAAATGGAAGGAGATTACCACCAGCCCAAGTATTCTCAATCAATTTTTATTACTTAAAACAGAAGATAAATATTAAATACATGAGATTTTTTAATGGAAAACAATAAAGTGGAAGTCAACTTGTAACTGTCTAACTGCTAAATACATAAAGTTCTTCTGTTAGGAGAAAAGCACAAAGCTATCATGAGTATCTAGAGGAGGATGCCATCTGCAATTGTCTCAGAAAACTCTTTGAAGACTATACTGAGAAACTAGATGAAATATCTGCAGACATAAAAACCAAGGATTCCAGCCAGGATGAAATAAGGGTTACCAGAATAGCTTGTAAAAAGAAAGCTGGCCACAGTATACAAAATACCTATTTTTAAAGGCTGGAACATGGATCATACAACATGGAGTTTTTAATAGAAGGGAAGACAAATGGGATGAGGCACACAATGCCCCTGGTTCTATGCCTAGAGGTGTTTTTCAGACAGCATAAGGAAAGGCCATGCTACAGTAAGGAGAAAAAGATTGAGTTTGATGATGATGGTGATGGTGGTAGTGGTGGTGATGTGACTGGAATTTGTAATACACAGTGTTAGAAAGGGAGACCTATGCATAGATAATATTTCAAATTTTTCTGTAAGTCTTTGACTGAAGATGAAGCTGAGCATGTGCAGGGTGAGACTCCTAGAGGCTTGAGGAAAATAATCCAATAGAGAAAGAGTAACTACTGGAGACTGTAAGTCAAACGTCTACTAGAACTCATAGGAATGTGAGTTGTTTGAGTTGTACTCAGCTAGGGTACAGAGTCTTTCTCAAGCATCATAATATAGAATAGACACCCTAGAAAGCCATTTTTCTAAGGGCAAGAAAAACGAACAACTATATAAAAACATGTTTGGAGAAAACCAAGCAGAATACCACTAAAATAGCCTCAAAACAAACTCCAAACTCTTTTATAACTTTATATATTCAGTGTATCAATTTCATAAAACTGGCATAACAAATTAAGGTACATTTAATGGCCTAAGGCCATATACACTTATTATTTTATGGATGGGTAGATGTGGTTTCAATAAGAATTTCCCCCACTGGCTCATAGATTTGAATGCTTGGCTACCAGTAAGTGGCACTATTTGAAAGGATTAGAAGGTGTGGCCTTGTTGGAGGGTGTGTGTCACTGGAGGACGGCTTTGCGGCTTTCAAAAGTCCAAGCCTGACTCATTGGCTCACTCTTCCTGCTGCCTACAGATCCAGATATAGAACTCTCACCTACTGCTCCATTGCCTGGATGCTGCCATGATCCCCACCATTTTGATAATTAACTAAACCTTAGAAACTGTTAGCCAGCCTGAATTAAATCCTTTCTTTTATAAGAGTTCCCGTGGTCATCAGGGTATCTCTTCGCAGCAATAGAACATTGATGGAGACAGTGGGTAAGACTCCAGTACAGTGTGGTTCTGTTGAATGCTCTGTTTTGGGTCCACTGAGGCTAAAATTAGGATGTCCATAGGATGCTAAAGTGAGTTTCCCAAGTTTTTCAGGTTGTTGGCTACATGTAGTTCCTCACAGACTGGGCCTGAGATCCCTATGCTTGCTGTTTCCTGGTGATGGTGATTTTCCCAGTTGTTTTGGTTGAATCTGCTCAGCCTCTCTGACATTAAAGATGCCCACTTTTAATGTCTTATACAATCATAGTCACTTATTATTGTGCTTGACTGTACCTAAGACTCCAAATACAGTATTTTCCCATTAGTACCTCTCAAATAAACTTAAAGCTGACTGAATTTTCTGAACATTTCCTTATGAATTACTAGATCGTATGCTCTTCACTCACGTGGATCTGGTATCATTTTCCTTGCCTGGGGAGCCTCTTTGTCGTTTCTTACAGAGTGGTAGCAATTTCTTTCAGCTTCTCTTTGTGTGGAGATGTCCCTATTTTCAGAGCTACACTGTGTGAACAGCATTCTAGGAGTCCAGCTCTGTTTCCACCTCTGAACACATTTACTCCAGATTTTTCAGGTTTGTATGATTTCTAATGAGAAACCAGTAGGAGTTTCTCAACTCCTCCTTAAACACATCTCCTTTCTCAGTCTACTTGATGGTTTTTCTCTTTTCCTTGTTATTTTTCATTTGATTGTGCATTGTTTAGGGTTCTTTTATCTAGCTTCAGGTTAGTTGAGCTTCTTGGATATGGCTGATACTTTTCATCAAATCTAGTTTTGGGGGGGGTTTTGGGGTTTTTTTTCCAACACTGCAGTCATACATGTGTGTTAGGTTGGGTGCTGTCATATCTGAGATCCCACAATCTCTGTGTTTTGTTGCTCAGTGTTTCTTCTCTGCACTCCTCTTCTTTCTGAGCACAGATCTTTTCTTCTACAGTGTCTGATCTGCTTTTAAACCCACCCAGTGATGGTTTCCTTTCAGAAATAATCTTTGCAAAAACAGAAAACCCTTTTTCATTTTCAAAGAATAATAGTTTTGTGATTTTTGTACCACAGTAACAAAAGCACCAGACCAAAACAACTTAAGTTTATTTGGTCTCAGGACTTCAGAAGGATTTCAATTCATCCAGTGTCAGGGAAGGCACGGAGAGGTGGAGCAGCTCTAGGATGATGTGAACTAAGTGGCAGTGGGTGTTTACATATTTCAAGAGTCGGAAGCAGAGGGCAGCCTGCACTAGAGACCAGGCTAATCATTTTCAAAGACATGCTCCCAGTAATCCGTTTCTACTAGCTGGGTTCTACTTCCAGAAGTTTTTGTGGTCCCTAAAACAGTACCAATCGCAAAGGCACATAAACAAACCTTCAGACCATGAACCTACGGGGAGTGCATCTTAGATTTAAGCCATAACAGGTGTCAATTCACTAGATCATTAGAAACCCACCGGCCAGCTAGCCTGACCTACACAGCTATGAACAGCAAAGAGACCCTGTCTCAAACAAGATAAAAAATGAGGACAGACATCTGAAGTTACCCATTCTGACCTCCACACACATGCACAGGGTATGAACACGCACACATCATACAACAACACACACAAAAACATGCGCATACAAACTTTTTAAACATCACTTTTATTAAATAGATGAGTAGAATCAAAATGCAAGATATTTAGCACACCCCCAAATTTTAATGTGCAAAGGGACTTTAAAATAATTTTTATTATTATTTTATTACTTTATTATTATAATAAAGTAATAATAGGGGGACATGTGTCATGGTGAGTGTGGGACACTCGGAGGGACAGCTTCGTGGAGTCAATTCTCTCGTTCCACTGGGAATGGAGGTCAGGTTGCAGGGTTTGCCATAGCAAACACTTCACCCACTGAGACAACTCAGGTCCATGGATCTGGGGTCTTGTTCAGAGCAAGGTACTGATTTCCGGATTCTGTCTTTGTAATAATGCCACATGGAGTCTTCGAGTTATCTACCACTCTTCGGTAGCCTGGGCACTGATGACTTTTCTGAGGCGTTGATTAGTGGTTTTACCCCTGCAGCTTTGAGTTCAAGCTCCAGTTTTTTGTTTCTAAGAAACTCCGATAAAGGGTTAGTCAACACTGAGCTGCAAGACGAGAGCTGAGTTTCCTGTTTCTTTTCTGTGGGCTGTTGAGAAAGACTACTATAGCAAACGTAACTGAAAGTATTGCGTAGACTCGTGGCCCAGGCAAGGCTTAAGGAGTCAAGCAGATGATGAAAGTATATTTACATACTAAAAAAAAGTTTAAGAAATGGGAGGACTTAAAAACAAGAGGCGGAGCCTTGGGAATGTTGTCCGTGGATGTGCATGGGGATGTACCACATCGCGAGCATCGTGGGGAGGGGCGCCCCATCAAGACGTAATCAGAAACAAAAGTTGCTCTGCTTCTAGAATTATACCTAAATCGGGATACCTGAATATAATAACTTTTATCTCACTCAGGAAGTCAACCAACATGAAACTGGAGTTCAGAAATAGTACGTGGTTCAGGTTCCTAGTTTCGAAGCAATCCGCTCCCCACGCGTGTGTGTGCCTTTCTCTCCACCCCACCCCCAGCCCCCGCCAGCATTCGCCATGGGCCCACTCCTGCAACCCGCGAGTGGCTGGAGTTTGCAGGGGCTGGAGGGAGGCGGGCCGGACGGGTCCATGTGCGCCACGCGGAGGGGCGCGAGATGCTCGCCGCGGAGGCGGGGGTGGGAGGTGCGCTCGGGGGCGCCGGGCGAGCGCGGGCGGGCGGAGGGCGGCTGCGCTCCTCGCGGCGGGGTGGCCACGTGGGACCCCCGGGCTGTGGGCTGGACCCGCCGCTCTCCCCGTGGGCGGCTCGAGGTGGCGCAGGCGGCCGGGGCGGGGCGGAGCGCGAAGCCGTCTGCGCCGCGGCGGCGGCGGAAACAATAGTGCGGATCGTGGCGCGCGGACGGCGGCGGAGCCGGACGGTAAAGATCCTTCTCTGAGCCGCTCTGGTGCGCAGGACCGGTGCCGGGACAGACGGACGGACGGACAGACGAGACAGATCCCACGCCGTGCCGACCGCCCACGGCTCTCGAGTGGCGCCCCTGAGACCCTCTGGCCCGTGGCTGCGGGGTCTCCGACGTGAGCCGACCCTTCCCGGGTGTCCCTGTCCCCACGTGCGTCTTGCCGCAGCGGAGCCGGGTAACCGAGTTAGCGGAACGCCTCCAGGCGCTCCCCCAGAAGTTGGCAAAGCCGCGTCCTGTCGGCTCCTTCTGGCCACCCGGACCGATCTGAAGTTGGTTGACAGACCCGGTGTCTGCCGGCGCGACGCGGGCGGCGGGTGTCTCCTGTGGGCAGCCCTTTTCTATCCCTGTGCTTTTTCCGCAGTAAAACTGTGATACTGTAACTCCAAGCATGGCGATGCTTGCCTGAGGAGGCTGTTGCAAACGCCTCCTTTTTCATTGCTGTTTTTTTTTTTTTTTTTCCGGTACTGCAGACCATAAGCAAGTTCTTGTGGTTGTGTAACTTGCCTTTTCTCTTTCCTCATAGGGACACTATGAACGAAGAGGAGCAGTTTGTAAACATTGACTTGAATGATGACAACATTTGCAGTGTTTGTAAACTGGGAACAGACAAAGACACACTCTCCTTCTGCCACATTTGCTTTGAGCTAAATCTCGAGGGTAAGGATACTGCGCGTTTAACCGCATGCCCTGTTGTACTTTTGCTTGAAGGGAACACTGAAATTGCTTGAAAGCCTAGAGATTGTGCTAAGTGAGGATCTGCTAAGGTTTTTCTGGAAATGAAGCCAGAGTTAACATAGTTATGAATCGAGGAAAATCTTTGTCTTTAAAACACGTAGGTAAACTCATTTTCACTAATTTGAAATGAAGTGCAGGTATTGTCTGGTAAACATTAGATTTTTAGCCTGCCCCCCCCCCTTAACTCGTCGTATTTAAAAAATCAACTTGACCGTTTATTTGGGCAGATTTAATCTTATTCCTTTCGGCACAAACTCTTAGTCTCTATTTTCCCAACATGTGGTGAATTTTAATCAACTTTTAATGTTTCTAAGTTCTTTATGTAAAATTTTAAATAACTTCCTTTTCTTTTAGTAATCTTTAAAAAACCAAAAAGACTTTTCAATTTTCTTGATGCCAGTATCATTGTGAGAATGTGTAAAAGAAACTCTTTGGAAATTAAACCTTTTGCTGAATGTTGGGTTGGGTACACAGATAACTGGGTCCTACATAGATAACTGTCTCTTGTTTCCATGAAACATGGGATGTAACCTTACTATTCACATTGTCACAGTGAAACCCCAAATCTTTCTAGGTATCTATGAATCACACTGAAGAGAAATCATAAAATTCCCCCCAAAATAAAATTTGCTTGTAACTTGAATTTTGAGGTTCTAATGTGTTGGTGGAAAAAAAGACCTTATTAGATACTGGACATTTTGAAATACCTAGATGCTTGAGGGCTTGGTTTCAAAACAACATTTCATTTTGTCTTTAAAGATTTTCATGATCTTTTTTTTTCCTGTTAAGAGGTACAAAATATCCTTATTGCTAAACACACTCACTCACTCCCGTACTGTGATCATAGACTTTGACATTCCTGTTAGAACTTATTACTCAGAAATGTAGCTTTCAAATGGTGTGTCTTGGAACATCACAAAATTTCTGTAGGTTACATAGTATGACTGTTAGTTCGGCTTTAGTAAATGTAGTGATTAGGGCTAGTTTTAGAAGCTTGACTTACAAGTGTGAGTTTTGTGTGGCGTTTATGTTAACATCCTCCATGCCACAGTGAGCGGGCACAGTTCTGCTCTTTGGAAACACAGTTTTCCCTGTGTGTTCTGGAAGTTTACGTTTTAGAAGGGCAAAGACATCAGAAATGATCAACTGCAGCCTCTTGTGTTTTCTGTGAAAGAAACTGAGGTCTGGCGGGTAGGCTGCTCCAGGTTGCTGGAGTGGTGACAGCAAGCTGTTGTTATGTGCCAGGCAAATGTTTTCTGGGAGCACATCTGTGCCAAGCATGGCCCTAAGCGTCTTACTGGATTATCTTCATTCAAAATAGCTCTGGGATGCCTGCTGTTAGTACTCATTTGAATGTGATGGAACCTGGGAGACCTAAGAAGTGCACTTTGAAGGCATATCGCTTTAATTGATAGTCCTGGGCCTCAAAGCCCGGCCATCCAGTTCTTGTGGATGTGACCTCAATCCCATCGATCTACTGTCAGTAGGTAGTTAATTGTGAGATAGATGCTGGAAATCCCTCCTCCTGAATCCTAATTGGTTTTTGGTTCAGCCAGCTTTCCCTAATCGGTGTTTCCTGATCATCATGCCATCTATAAAATTTTACTGCAGAGACCTCAGTTTTCATAATTGCTTTCCTAGCCCTTCTGGCGATGCCTTTTAACTAACTGTGAGCATTTAACTCTTGATGTGTAAACATGACCCCAGCCCTGTGTCTTTGAAATAATAGTTGTCATTGGTCTAAAAGACAAAAACGGTTCTCAATCTGGATTAGAACTGTTTCATCCTCTGTGTGTGTTAAAGGTGGAACTGAAAAGCCTTCTCGGTGTGTCTGGAGTACCAGTTCCTTGCTCACAAATGTATTTCCATTGTTACTGCACTGAGGAGCTATTAGTTTTAAACGTTTGTTTAGTTTAATATTGTCATACTGCTGTGGGAAGATGGGGAGAGATTTCCACCAGTGTCAATTTTTATATCCATACCCACCCAGGTCTTGTTAAAAAAATAAATATCAGTGGAGGGCTGGCAAGACGGCTTAATGCAGGGATAGACACTTGATGCTAAGCCTCAGGAGTTGAGTTCAATTCCTGGATCTCACACAGTGGAAGAAAAGAACCAGCTCCCTCAAGTCATCCTCTGACCTCCGTGTGTGAGTTGTTGCACACCACACACACACATACACACACACACACACACACACACCACACATACCACACACACCTGCACATTCCGCATGTTTTTAAAATCAGTGGGAGAAAACGAAGATAGGTTTATCCTTCACCTTTGTTAGTGACTTGAATTCTTGTAGTTTTCTTCTATAACTGGTTTGTAAGAGGGACATTTGAATAGGACATTTACAGGTTTAGTATAGTTTTGTCTGGAATGTGGTGGTGTTGCTGTAAACTAAGAAACTTGAAATTTTCTCTCAACCATTTTTTCCCTTTTTTCTTTTCTTTTCTTTTCTTTTCTTTTTTTTTTTTTTTTTCCTGCAAAGAACCCAAGTGAAATGAATTGTCTTGAGGACCGTAGCAGTTGGGCTAGGTTTTACACATTTGAAATAAAACGCCATTTTATATACTTTAGATTGTTTACATGAAAAGAGCACTGGCCTCCCACTAATTAATGAGCCTCTTGTTTCAGAGCCATGTGCTTGCATGTGTTTCTGCAACAAAGACAAAGGGCGAAAGGGAACTGACCTCACACAGGCCGAGCTTACTGGAGGGACTCTGCCTTCTGGGCATCCTCCGAGTTGTCTTTTTCCTGTGGTTTCACAGTATTTCAAAGGAAAGTGGGTACTGACTAACTCTCATGTCTCCAAAGCACGGTCCTGTTCTTCAAAAACCTGACCGTGTTATTTCAAGGGCTTCAGTCATTAACTGTTCCCAGGGGTAACTTTCGTAGCCCCTAATTCACCGTCAGGATAATTGTTGCACTTGTAAGATGAGGAGAGAGGTGTGCAAGCAGAGGGCTAGGCCCTGATCTGGTAGTCCTAAGACACTCTAAGACGTTTGCCTAGTGTTAGTGATCAAGTAAGTACACTTACAGGCATCTAGTTTATTATGGAGGATTCTCTAACCTACTTAATAAACAGATCGCTTCTAGTCCCTAAACGGAAGCCAGGTCACAGGGGCCTGCACTTAAACAACCGTAATGTAATGTACAAAAGACAGTAACAATCCTGGGAGTAGATCCCCAAATGCTGGAACTACTCTGCAACCCAGATAAGTAACTTAAGCTTTCCTTCTTACAGTGATAGATACAACTGTTAGATAACTAAACCAGTTCTGTTTTCATCTAAGCTGGCTTTGCCCGCTGAGGAATAAGCATGTGTCTGGCTTCTCTGTGTAGTCTCTCATTTGTTCTCCCTAATTTCTTGTTCTTTCATGGAAATAGAGGTAAATTCAGAAATGGTTGTTTGTTGTTAAAGATCTTCTGTTCTTCCTCCATACCCTGCTCTGAATGCCAGTGTCTTTCTGCTCAAGCAGACACATCCACTGCTTGGGCTCAGGAAGCAACAAACTTCCTGTGACTGCAGCGTCTTTCTCTTGGTCCCATTCCATAGTGGCAACACCATGTACTAGGGTTAACTAAGAACAGGGTCTGGAGAGATGGCTCAGTCGTTAAGAGCACTTGCTTGCTGGTTTAGTTATCTACCAGGTGTTCACTAGAGGAAAGAAAGCTTAAGTTACTTAAGTCTCTGGAAAGCCAGAGACTGCAGTGTTTTGGTTGCCTACACCCACAAGATGGCTCACAACCATCTCCAATTCTAGAGGACCCAATGCCGTGTTCTGGCTTCTGTGGGTACCAGGCACATACACAGTGCACATACTTGCTTGCAGGCAAAAGCCCATACACATAAAATCAAAATAAATAGATGTTTACAAGATAAGCTTAAAACGCCATTTTTACTTTATCTAAGTGTAAAGCCTATTGCTGTTTCTGTATTTTCAAGTGATCTTCCCTCTTAACATTATAGCTAACTTTTTCTTTTTAATTCCCCAAAAAAATGGCTCAAAAGTGGCTAATGGTCTCAGTAGCTGACCGTCTCTGAAGAGATACCCAGGGAGAAGGGAGCCATTAGTCTCTTCCTGAACAGAGGCAGAGAGGAACCAGGGAATCGTCCCAAGCTTAAAATATAACACCAAATTACTTAGGTTTAATTTCATTTGTTCTTACCCAATAATAAATTTCTGGGGCACTCCTCCTTGGGAGTTGGATTAATTATGATGTTTTATGGACTGAGCTAGGCCAAAAAAAAAAAAAAAAGTTGAAAATCCTTACAGCTTTTTGACAAGACCACTTTAAGCACGGCTACATGCTGGTCTTCACAGTGCAACCATTATTCAACGAACTTTCAAGATGCAGTTCAGCCCCAAGGCCAGAAGAGTCATCTAAGCACTGATCGATCTCAACCAAAATGGAGACAGTTTTGCCTTCGATATGATGAAACCTTTACTATTGTGGGGAGCGGGAGGAGTATTCCTAGGGCCTATTTTACTAGTTTTTACTAGTTGTCTCTTTGGTACACACTGTACCTTTGTAAAACATCAATCTTATGGGGAGCAGCAACTCTTAAACATAATGAACGTAACTTCGGGAAAACTGCTTGGTGGAACTAAGGGAAAGCCCTTTCTCTTGTATTCCGGAATAAGTAAATAATGGCAAGTAACCTCAGCCTTCCTGACTTGTGACAGAAGCCTGAAATCGGAAACTATGGCTCAAACAAAGTGAAACAGAAAGAAAGCGAAGCTTGGGTCTTTCTACCCAAAGAGTAGAGCTATCAAACCCAGACTTCCCAACTCAGCCTCTGTTTTGAGCATGTGTTCCTACATGTTGGGTTGAGTTACACGTGTGGGCAGGTACAAGCTAAGGCTTGAGGCCAAGGCCTTACCTCAGCCACTCTCTACCTTATTTTTGGAGAC